TGGGAGGCCCCCAGCAGCAGTTCCACCCCGCCGGGGAGTAATTCTAGGAAGGTAATGTGAGCTGGGGGAGGCTGGAGACCCAGCTTCACATTTATTTACTCTGACAGCTAAATTGGTGAGCAAGGGGGAAATCAGATGAAAGCCATTTCAGAGTAAATACTAAATACGAAATTTAAACATTCAGGTTGTGACAAATGGGGAGGGGGCAATGGGAAGAGACATAGGCAGCGAAATCAGATGAAAGCCATTTCAGAGTAAATACTAAATATGAAATTTAAACATTCAGGTTGTGACAAATGGGGAGGGGGCAATGGGAAGAGACATAGGCAGCACTCCACTCCCCAGCCTAGGACTCTGTCCTCACCTTGTCACCTTCCTGGGCATTTCCTGTTTGAGGAAAGAGCACAGAATGGGTTACAACTGCATGACCCTAGGCCAGCAATTTACCTCTTCTGGCCTCAGTGTATCCTCATTGGTAAATTGTGTGTGTTGTTCGAATCGGTGTTCTGAGAAGTGATGGAGAGAGCCTCGGAGTCAAATAGACCTGAGGTCAAATCCCAGCCCAGCCACTTCCTGGCTGGGTAAACTTGGAAAAGTCACTTGACTTATGGAACCTCAGTTTCCTCAACTATGGGGATAATATCTAGCTCAGAGGAGTAAATAAGACAATCAGTGCAAAAGGGCTTTTTGGACCTCAAAGTATAATGAGAATGTGAACAATCATAGTCACCCAAAGTTCCCTCCCAGTTCTAACATTTGCTGAGTAAATTCAGGTCAGCGGACATTTATGAACACACCAGGCTCCATCCTAGGCACAGGAAACAGTGGAAGCTGTCGGTGTCTGTGCCCATGAAGAGAGGGGAGAGAGCCAGCGATGCATCACAGTGTGACAGGTGCTACAAAGCGTGCTAGAGAAGAAAGTAGAGGGCCACTTAACCTGGCTTACAGGTGGGATATCAGGAAAGGCATCCTAGAGGAGGTGACTTTTCATGGAAGTCCTAAAGGATAAGTAAGTGTGAGACAGGAAGGACTGAGGGGAGTTTCATCATGATGAAGAGTGGGTTGGTGTTTGCTGGGGCAATGTTGAGAGATGAAGCTGGGGAGGCAGGTAGGAGCCAGATCCTGGAGGGCTGAGTTCTGAGTTGAGGAGTTTGGATTCACCTTGAACTTGGGTTAAAAGCCAACAGTTCCACAGGAAGCAGCATCCTGTCTCTGCAGAAGCAGCGTTGCACAATGGTTAAGGATTCCGGATTTGGAGTCAGGTAGGCTGAATTGATAACCTGATTCTCTTACACACGGTTTGTGTGTCCTAAGACAAGTGACAAACTCGATGAACCTTAGTTTCCACAGCTGTAAAATGGGCATTAACAGAGAACCCATGTACAAGTCCTGTGACAATTGCAGGAAACCAAGATGCACCTTCAAGTTAAGAGCTTGGCAGTAGCCTGGTACCTGCTAAGTGCTTTGTCATCCAGAGCCACTGTCATCACTAAGAAGAGGATATAATGGGTACACAGAGGGCACTAGGTAAGTGGGGATTCTCAAGGGGTAGACGTCTCCTCCTCAGAGAATTCTGCCCTGATCACACTATTTAAAGTAAATCTCCCCTATTACTTTTTTCCCAGCAGAGGGTAGATAAGGCTTAAAAATAGGCTAGACTGGGATAAGCCTTGTATAACTTGCTAAGGAATTTCAGCTTCAAAATATAAACTGTGAGGGGCCACCAAAGGCTTTTAAGCATGAAGATGACATGGTCAAATTGGAGGCTTGGAAAGATGACTTAAGCAGTTGACTTGAAGATGGATTCAAAGGGGGTGAGGCCTTCACTGAGTCCTTGAAGGCATTGCTGTAATCTAAGGGAGAAGTGATGAGACAGCTGCAGGGACAAGTAAGATGGAAAGAAGCAATACCACAAAAAGTTAATTATTACGTGTCACTTTATCATGCTGTATATCATTATATATTACACACATTTATAAATATATATATATAAGAGTATGTCAAAAAGTTCATGAAAAAATAGAATTGGAAGATGAACCTTTTGGCATACCCTCTATTCATCCACATCCAATCTCCTAAGTCAACTTTACATAGTAAAGTTATGAAGATAATAACATATATGTTATACAGAATCATATATTCTATTTTATGTATATTGTGTATATATTTATATATTATGTATACATATCTATTTATTATGCATATATGATTATTTAGGAGACTGGATGTGGGGAGTGGAAAATGCCAAAGATAACACCCAGATTTCTCATTATTTATTTATTTTTCTTCATTGGGTTGTTCCCAAAGACATGGAACACAAGAGTAACTGGGGAGGGACAAGGGGAATTAATGAGCTCAGTTTTGGTTCAATGCGCCAGGGGAATATTCACATGGAGACGCCCAGGAGTGAACTGGATAGACAGGTCTGTAGCTCAGAAGAGAGGCTGGAACTGGGAAGAGGAACTTCAGAGACATTAGCACGGGCTGGCCGTTGAAGCCATGGGAGGTGATGAGATTTTACAGCAGCCAGGATTTACCTCACATAGAAGAGAGTTGACTTGTTTGCTTTCTGGGAAGTAACTCGCTGCTGAGGCTTATCTTATTTTCAGTGCAAATCATTTTTCAAATTAGAAAGCACATTATATATAGTGATAAGGAGGGCATTTCACTGCCTTGGGTGAGTGAGGATGGGTAGTAAGACATCTGTTAGACAAATGGTGGGGCCGAGGTGGGCAGAAGGAACTTTCTGGGTAGAAGGAACATCGTGTACAAGGACAGGGGGATCTGGCAGATTCCATCGTGTTTTGGTGTGATTAGGGGAGTGCATATCGGGGAAGATTGTAGAAGGCCTCCTCAACCTGGTATTCATAAGCGTTTTAACTCCTCCTCTGATTACATTTCAAACTCTCTCATTTTGGGGCTTTGTTCTTCCTCCTCCAACATTCTTAAACCCTTTGCCTGGCTTACGTTTAAACATCCTTCAGCACTGAGCTCAGGTGTTGCTTCCTCTGGAGAATCATCTACACTCTCACCTCCTGTTCCCAGCTTGGTTAGGTGCCCGTCCTCTGCTCTCCTGTTGCTCCGGAGACTTCCCTTTATTGTGGCACATCCTAGTGCACAGGGACTGTGACTTTATCATCTTTACGCCCTCCACGCCTGGCACCTGGCAGATGCCCAGTTTATGTTTGAGGAATGAGTAAATTTCCTTCTGATGAGCTTACCTAGCAGAAAGCTTCTCAAATGGGAGCAGTCTGTTTTGTTAAAGAGGAAAACTTAATTTGTTATATTTTTTAAGGCTAAGTTTTAAATTATATTTCTAGCTTAGAAAGGTCAGAAGACCCATCAAAAATAAAATGCCATTCCATATAATCAGTAATCCTAACCAGGTAAGACTCAGTGTGGAAGAAAGAAGATACAAACCCATATCCTGGGATAAGTTTTGACAGATCTGTTTTTTTTTACCTGGGATTCAAGTCTCTCTCCAGAGACCACTAAGGAGAGCCTGCCTGAGAATGAAACCAACCCAGAGGAAAACACAATCAAGAGATAGACAGATCCTGACTATATCATTTGAACACCTGGACTTTTCAGTTACATGAGCCAATAAATTTTCTATCATAAGGTAGTGAGAGTAGGGTTTTCATCACTTGAACTGAAAGAGTCCCAACTAATCTGCTCACATAGCTAGGACTAGAAGTCTAACACAAGCAGATGTGATGCCAAAGTTCTTAGGGGCGTAGTTTCCTCACATGGACAATGAGGGGACTTAGCTTGCAGGTACACAATCTTTCACAGTACAGTCATGCTTCTAGCTATCCCAAAAGATATATAAAGGGTCAGAAACATGAATAAGAATCTAACAACACTCAGCGCACATCATTCGGTCATGTTTTTATTTTCTGTGGTAACACTAGAATTTCTGACATCACAAAGTTTTAGAAACACATTTCTAGTAATGAAACATAGTTTAGAGCAGGGGTTAGCAAACTTTTCCTGTAAAGGGACAGACAGTATTTATTTTAGGCCTTGCAGGCCAATCTTTGTTGCAACTACTTTATTCTGTCATTATAGTGGGAAAACCACCATAGATGGTATGTAAATGCATGGGTATGCCTATGTTCTTTTTTTTTTTTTTTTTTTTATCAGCGCCCTTCAGCTCTCAAATACCAGGATTCTGATATTTCACTGAACAAATATTTATTGAGCATGTACTATATATCAGACACTGTTTTAAATGTTGGGGATATAGCAGTGATAAAGTTTCTGCTTATGTGGAACTTATATTCTAATGAAGAGACAAAATAAAGTTATATATATTGTGGGGTAGTGATAAGTGCTCTGTAGAAAATGAAGACAAGAAAAGGACTGTAGAATGACAGGGCTATAATTGTAAAAGGGAGGCCAGGGACAGGCTCTGGATCAACATTTGAGCAGAGACTTGGATCAAATGAGGGAGTTCTGTGGCTATCTGGGGAAAACGCATTCCAGGCAACCGCCAATGTAAAGGCCTTGAGATAGGGACTCCCTTGTAGTCAAGGAACAGCAAGGAAGCCAGTGTGTCTGGAGCACAATGAGCAAGGGGAAAATAGCAGGCTATAGGGCAGACAGGTAGTCAGAGACAGGTCATTTAGGGCCTTACAGGTCTCTGGATTTTATTCTAGGTGTGATGGGAAGCCACTGAGAAGAGAATGACATTTTAAATGAATTTGAAAAGGGTTGTTTTAGCTACTGTGTGGAAAATGGACTACAAGGAGGCAATAGTGAAGACAGAGAGATAATAAGAAAGGTACTGTAATAGTTCAGGCGAGAGATGATGACGGCTTGAACAAAAACGGTAGTGTTGGAGGTGGTGAGAAGTGGATGGATTCAAGATATATTTTGAAGGTAAGAGTTGACAGGATTTGTTGAAGGACTGGATAGGAGCAGGAGGGAAAAAGGAAATCAAGGATAAATATACTGGGATCAAATCATATTGTAGGAACATAACAATTACACACAGGAAATGTTCAACATTTAATTTATAAGGCAAGAATTAATCCTGTTCTTTTTTATAGTAGTATAAAAAAATCACACATATATTTGCAGAATTCGGAAATTAACTGTGCATACCTTAGTAAACAAGGTCAGAGCTGTATACTTGCTTTCATAAAACTTGCACTATTGATTTTTTACATGCTTTGAAAAATCTTTTCTCATGTGATCCTCTTCCCCAATACTGAGATGCCAATTATAGAAAATCAACTGGTTAGGGTTACATTTTGCATTTGATAAAATAGGAGCTGAGATTAGATAGCTCACACCTCTTGAATATGTCCCTCAATTCTTTACCCTTGTATAAATCAAAATTGTAAGTGACATAATTTTAGCAAAACAGTAAACCAAAGAATAATTTCAAAGTACAGGTAACCTCATAACAAAGAGTTGAACCAAGTTAACACTGGTACTTTACAAACCTTTCGTCAGACTGCTATCAGTATATTCATGATTTATACATTTATTCTTTTAAAACCTCTACTTTGAAGGAAAGACTAAACATGGTATGATACTTGCAGGGACTTCTTCTTTTCAAATAGTGACATCTGCAATGAGAACAGCTGGTCTTTTTCCTCATCTCTAACAGCAGAGGTAGGTGGGCATAAAGGGTGAAGAGAATTGCCTGTGAGCTTGACTCTAGCCAGAGCCCTCTGCAGTGAAGGCACTTAGAAGCAGCACCCCACTGGACACACTGGTGCAAGTCCTGAGTGGAAGCAAGCTTACCAGAGAGCTGCAGTCTTTATCCCAGTAAATGGACAAACCACACAGACACTGTCTTGTATTTATTCACACAGAAGGATAAGAATTGGTACAAATAATAAACACTGCTTTAAATACAAATAAATAGCTCTGGTTTCTAAAGGAAACTCTATATAATTCTAAATTAAGGATTTTCTAAGTTCCTATTAAAAATAGAAAACTAATTTGCATTAAGTAAGTTCTACTCCACCACAACCCTTTGAGAATTTAAGGATAAAATGGTGAATTCTACACTCCAAGAAGTCACCAGAAAAATGGGAGATTTTAGTGCTCCCCTCTCTCTGAACCATCCTGCAAGTGAAGGTTACTTGCCTCATAGATAGACATAGCTAATAAATACAGAAAGTATTTGATATCTAAAGATATCTAAAAAGATTAACCTTCGAAAAAGTGATAAGAATTTCTCTGAGCCAGTTCTGTGAATTCTGAAACCACTATGCTGAAGTTTTGATTGAAGTGTCTTAAATTCATTTATACCCATAGGAAGACTTAAGTTCCTATAATGAAAGCTTCCTCTTACTAGGAATGATAGGGGTAAACAGTCTGTAATCACTAGGAATGGCACCTGCAGCAACAAAGTGATTTACCTGGTAAAGGAGCAATGGCGCTGCCCAGTGAAACAGTCTGTCAAACTTGGCAGCAAATTGATCAAAACTGTGCTGAAGAAAAACCCTCCTAAATCTGTTGGTTTGTTTAGCTCTCTATATTGTTATGCTTAGGATTTTAAAAGAGGCAATAATATCTAGGGAGAAGTATGTTCTACAAATGAAGAATCATTTTCAAATCATGCAGTCTTTTAAAACTACATAAAAGATGAGGTCATTATAATCTTGGTACCAGAGTAGTGCCTGCTCCATTGACTTTCTGTCTCACTCCATGTCCCCTCCTCATCCTGTACAAGATAATTCAACCTCTTCTATGCAGACCCCCTACACAATTATTAGAAAGTAATATGTTTGATAGTGACCAATACATCAATGTTTAAGTTTTCAAGGAAATTCTGCTTTTCTATTTAGATTGGCCATGATACAACTCCAAATAGAACCTTCTCATGCTATAAAAACAAACTCATGCAGTAAGTGCAACTTTAAAAGTCCCACGTTAATAACAACATTTGGTATTATAAATGGCAAGATTATTTAGATTTTTAAAAAATGATCACTGTAGAATAAAAGTTGGATTTTCAAACAGAACTTCTGTTGTAGTATAAAATGCTAAATTTGATTCTACAGTTTGGTTGATGCAAACAATTTTAAGATATACACCATGTTTTCCTAATTGGGATTCTGAGACAATAAGCATAATTCTTGAACACATTACTACAACATTTCCTCAAAAGTCCAGCTTTCTTTTGCCAAGAACTTTCTCTTTTTTAGTCCAGTTGGAGGGATTTCCATAGTAAATTCTGGAACCATAGTTCTGAACATGATTTAAATTCTGTCTCTCACTTCCCTCCGTCTCTTACTTTTTCTTTAGGTTGTAAAGACTTGTGAGCACAGAAGAATGCTCTATTTTTTTTTTGATGGACGTTAATACATTTCATTTCCTGATTTCGATAATAACATTTTGTATGTTTGCCTTTTTCTCTGGCACATGATAGAATATTTCTGGAGTTACAAATCCAAACAAACCAGCCAACTAGAGCATCCCAGTGTTCAAATCACAATTTGGGATACGGTCCTATTTATTCTGGATGATGCTCAATTCTACATATAGGAAGACACATCCATAAGGACATCCAAAATGCTATGTTACCAAACGCTAACATGTGATTGTGCTCTGTTGGATAGTACCATTCACATCTACAGTGTACAAGGCAGAGGCTTTCAGGTGTGGAGACCGATTTGATTTTGCTGCTACAGTAATTCACAATCATCATCTTCGAGATTTCCACGCTGTTCTAGAATAAGGAGTAGTCCTCTTTTTATCTGGTGGCTTAAAGTAGGAATAAACAGGTGCTGCTGGATACTCTGCATCAGGATTTTCTGCCATCATTTTCAGCTTTGCTTCAATGGCTTTTATCTTTGCCGTGACACTAGAAAAAGGACAGCAGAGGATAAGAGTGGGTCTACATGCATTCAGAAAATACTTGTGTTATTTCATCTCCTTGTGCCTCTTATGCATATCGGAGAAGCAAGAAGATATTATAAGCATTTAAACTAATACTCTCATTTTAAGAAAGAGATCAAGTCTGAACCATCTATTAAGTTTTTAATATAAGCCCAGACAGTGTTAGGAGTACTTCACATTCATTACATTTAATCCTCAGAAGCAGTCACCATTCTGCACTTTAGTGCTTGGCTGCAAGAAGGCACTCAAAAATAATTCTTGTAGGAATGAAAATGACATTACAAAGTAGGCTATATTCCTTATTTTGCACATAAAGAAACTAAGGCACAGAAAGGTTAACTTGCCCAATGTTACATAGCTAGTAAGTGATAGAGATGAGATTGGAATGCAAGCTGACTCCAAAGCCCATTGCTTTTAACCATTACATTGTACCACCTTTTGAATCACTGAATAATAATGGAAAAAACATTCTGGAAATCCTATAGGGTCTCTCTCTACTGACAAACATGTGTAATAAAGGCTATCATTCACAGAGTGCTTACAATGAGCCAGGCACAGTGCCCAGCATTTTTCTTATATTGTGTCTAATCCTTGCAATAACCCTGTAAGGGTTGCCATCCATATTTTACAGATAAAGAAAACAAACATAGAGAGGTAGAGATATGCCCAAGGTTCACACAGCTAACAAACCGCAGAGCCAGGATTCAACTCCAGTTTATCACCAAAGCCCTTGCTTTTTCCTCTCTATCAGGTTGGGAGCTGAACAGCTCTGTATTAAACAGAAAGGGAAAGGAAATGCTGCAGAAGTTGTAAGGAATTCACTCTGATTCAGATCATTGCTCTCCCTTGACCAGAATGGAAAACACTCAGGCAGTGGGTATTTTTTGGCCCACGGCTCCTTTTTCCACTCTTGATGCTGTCAATGGCCTATAGCCAGTGAGAGAAACTTGGAAGGAGTGTATATATGGCCTTGTAGAACTCCTCAAAAGGTATACATCTGCTGCACATACCCATAAATTTACACAGGCAAGAAATTAAAAAACAAAGTTACAGTAAAAGGAACACTAAGGTATTACTAAGATGCATTCTGGCATCTCTTCCATTAATGGGACAGCCAGCCATTCATTCTGTATGCAGGGAAACAACCATCTCTAATTAGGCATAGATGTTAATAGAAAGATGTAAGTTAAATTTCTCTATTTTAAAAAATAAATGGAAAGCAATATGCTATCTAGCAAATAAGTGGAAAACACTGATAAAAGAAACTAAAGACACACTCATTGTAACATGAAGACCACCAAGCATAAAGGTAGTCATCCCTTCCCAGCAGGAGTAGATTTATGAAAACCTCCAAGGAGATCAATCTGTAATCAAGGAGTCTGTTCAAACCTTATGGGGAAAACAGCACAGTGGATATAAGCTCCCAGTGAATCTATGTGAGGGTATTTCAAAAAGTACCTCTTCATGGAAAGATTAGCATTATCTTTTAATTCTGTTTTTCCACAAAAAATACCCACATAGAAATCTTTTTTTTTTAAATTTCCAAGAGCACAAAACAATAAAGGCAGCACAAAATTAAGCAATATGACAGTAAATCTAAATGAGTAACTATTAAAATGAATTTCAATTTACCACTCCTGAAGACTTTTCAGGAACACCTTTCCCTGCAGTTTAATGAGATGTGTATAAATCTGTTTTGTTTGGTGCACATACTATATAAGAAAGGCCTTTTTTCCCCGTCTGGTCCTCCATTCAAATAGTCATCACTTTCCTGACTTTATGACTATTGATTTCTGATCCTTATGTATCATTGGTGCTCCTTCACATACCTTCCTTCCCTCCCCGGAACAGGCTTTAGAACTATATTCCTGCATTTACAACCTAGAGCTTCTTTGAAATAGTAACTAAAAGGCTGCGTTCTGAAGTCCAACAGACTTGGCTTTGAATCCTGACTCTGCTATTTGCTACTTGCATGATCTCAGCTATTTCATTTCTCTAAGCTTTATTTTCCTCATGTGTAAAATGAGTACAAGAGTACTTATATCAGAATTTTTATGATAATTAAATGACAAATTGCATGTAAAGTGTTTAAGCACAGTGCCTGCTTCAGAGTAACCTCAATAAATTCTGGTTATTGTTACTGTTATTGTTAAAATTTCTCCCTAGGCTACAATGCCAAAAAACCCCCCAAAAGCCCAACAACAAAAAATACAAAACCACATATACCCCCCCAAACCAAAAAAAAAAAAAACCCTTATACTTCTGTTCAATCATTCACTTAACTTCCCCTTTCTCTGCCCAACCCTTAGTTCCCCTGTTTTGAATTAACTCCAAAGAAGTAACTTATAATTCATACAAACTAGAACCAAAACTGTTATAGTTGCTGCAATGGTACATAGAATTAAATATCTGCAAACTAAAATTTTGTAAAAGGAAACTCATGGTTGGGGAGGAATTAATGTATAATGACAAATGCCAAAGAGACCCGAGGCCTTATTAAAATGCTTGTTTTTAGGATAAGAAGTGTGTTTGATTTATCTTTGTACTCCCAATGCTAAACATAAGGCCTGGTGTGGTAGTTGCACCCAGACTTTTTTGAGTGAGTAAATTCTATAAATGGGTACACAATCTGGGAGGGATGGAAGGAGAAGAAATGCATACACTCTGGAGATTAACTGAACACATCTCTCAACGTGTCAGGTTAGTGGATTTTTTTTTTTTTTTTTGGCAGCTGGCTGGTACGGGGATTTAAACACCTGACCTTGGTGTTATAACACCCGTTTCTAACCAACGGAGCCAACCAGCAGATTCCATTCTAAGTGAAGAGTCTGAAGATTCTCTACAGTATGAATAAAGGTGTGGAATGAAGAAATGGCTCAAGCTCTTGAATAACTGTCTTTCTACAGTACATCATCTTACCTTAGGTTAGACTGAGTAGGCTCAGTGCTTGAGGATGGCTCAAGACCGATTGGAAGGATTTTATCACTTTTGTTATGGTCATATCGCTGAAAGTAAGAAAAAGAAAAATTACTTCATGGGGGCAGAAACCAGCTCTTTACTGTATTGCATGGGTTCAGAGACTCTAATCACACTAGTGTATCATCAGCATATTTCTGGATAGTTTTTGGACTCCTTTACATTTAGAATTAATGCAAAACCCCAGACAGATTTGGCCTAAAAGCTGTAAGTTTACAAAAAGAAGTTGAAAAGAAGCTTCCATATAGCCATTAGTCCTCCTTAATTGGTAGGAAAAGAATTTCAACTTTCAAATTCACAGATAGTATAAATACACAGCAGGGCTACACTCTTACATTCTCATTTTAACTGTCATATATCACCTCTTACAATATTTATTTTGTTTTATTCAAAATGCTTTAAAATTCTGCTGGATTTTGCAAAGTAGCAAGCATCATACTCAACTCTTAAGAGGCCTGAGTGGAGAAGAAAAGTAGGAACAGCTTTCAGTTGCTGATATAGAAAACATTCTGTGGTAACAGAGCGGTTTAATTTGATGTCAGATAATTACACACTTCTTGTAAAAAGTAAATGTCATATTAAAGAGCAATCAGGAGCCTCTGGTCAAAAAAGATTTATAGAAGAGAACCATGAGGCATAGAGACTTTCAAATGAAAGACAGGAATGAAGGATGATTTCTTTGGCATGCCTCTTCAATGAGATGCAGAACAAGAAAACGAAAGCCAGTTTGGCAAATGAGACTTGATTTTCTTTTGAGTAAAAAAGCACTTGCTAATTCTCCTTGTTGTGTCTATTTTTAAGGCAATGTGTCCTTGAAATTGAGAAAGTTCTGTGATTACCTGATATAAGGATACAAAGTGTTTGAGCTTTGTCTTTCAGCTTGGACACTGAGCTTAAGTATCTGTTTAGTTTCTGTGACTCTTAAAACCATGCCCATATTGCTAAAGATTGAAGTTCCAACTCTGTCACAAATCTTTTCTCAGGCAGATCTGTCAAAATCCCACTGCAGAAAGAGGAGAATCTACTCCTGCGACAGCTCCAGTCCACACACTTCACCACCTCTGTGCCAGCTGGAATAGAATGCCATTCACTCATATATATTTTTTTCATATTTTATTTATAGAAAAGCCGCAGCTTTTCTAGTACATGCTCCCAAGAGAGCAACTACAGGATGAACAGGGCAGTTTGCCACCTCTCAGGGCTTGGAGACAATACAAGCACTCAAACTCCCACAAACCCACAACCTAACAACTGTCCAGACCTCTGGAGTAAGGAGATGCCAGTGCTTTGAGCACTCACACAAACTACCCATTTCTCAAGCATTTACAATAAACAAATTCAATCTCTCCGTGGTGTTGAGAGGCTGGGAAGAGTCTAATAATGCCTAAAGCAACTAATTTTAAAAATAAATACATTTTTTCCTTCAAAGAACAAGCTCCACCAAAAAAAAAAAAGATAGAGATTGGAGTATATACATTAGCCACACGGAAAAATCAATCAAAAACAGGATCTGTGGGCATGTGGAGAGAAACAACGGAGGAACTTAATCCCTCCTGAGCTGTTTCTTAAAAGAGAAATCTGGCAACACACATGGTAAATACAAGTAGGAGAGCAAAGTATGGCTGTACCAGATGTGAAAAGGCTGGATACAAATGGGTTAGTAGACAAATGTCTTTAAGAAAACTCATCAGGATGGGGTTTTATGTTGCCTTTCCAGCCTCTTGGCATGGTAAATACAAGTAGGAGAGCAAAGTATGGCTGTACCAGATGTGAAAAGGCTGGATACAAATGGGTTAGTGGACAAATGTCTTTAAGAAAACTCATCAGGATGGGGTTTTATGTTGCCTTTCCAGCCTCTTGGACATACCTTTACTTGAGCATGTGCCCATCGCACCACCAGCTTCTTAGACAGAGCCAGCTTGCCATTGAGACACTGGATGGCTTGTTCTGCTTCCTGTCCAGGAAAAGGACAAATGTTAGTCAAAAACTGAAATGCTTAGCTGGCTATGCATTCTGATAGGGCCTCACTAGCTTTGATGGCTGAGTTTCTAACCAAACTGCTTTTGGTAAATAACTGGCGAAGGGTTTACAATTTAAAAAGGCAGAATAAGAAAAAGGGTATGAGTTTTTTAAAGCCAGTCAGATGAAAATTCAAATCCTGGCTCTGTCAGTTGCTAGCAGTATGATATCTGGCAGGTCACTTAATGGCTCTAGCTTTGTCACCTGTAAGATGGAGTAATATGGCTTGCTCCTCAGTGGTGGTTGTGAGGATTCAGAGTGCATGTAAAGTATGGAGCATACAGTAAGCACTTAACAAATGTTAGCAATAGTATTGTTCTCATTAGCTGATACCTTTCTACACACGTCTACTAGTTAGGGTCACACATAGTATGTCAAGAAATTGTACTCCACCCAGAGACCCTAGAACTATATCCTGAAATAGAGCTTACTCCTTGGATCCAAAGTGACAAACAGTAATGGCTTCAAAAGATACAGGAGTGAAGGAAACTAGGCCGGAAAAAGCAGGAGTGAGTCAAAGAGGCTGTGAGCAAGGTGTTTGTGTGAGTCAATCTATGCACCTGGTTTTCAGAGCCAAAAGTTCCCTGACCCCTTTCCCTATCAGATATGGGAGCAACAAGGTTGAAAGGAATTCCTGAAGCTGGATTAATAGTCACTCTAGGTCATTCCCAGGAAGCCTGTACTTTCCCATCCTGCCAAAGCTTCTCTGCCCCATCTGTATCCATGAGGCTTTCAGCCAAGTGTAACCCACATTTCTCGGAGGTGAAGTTCTTAAGGAACAGAAGAGGAACAGGAAGTCCTAGAGGCGAGGGAGAGGCTACCCAGGACTGGGGTGTAATGCCAGTACGTATTCCGGTCTGGTTTTACTGGCGATTTTCTTATTCCTCCAGAGCACAAGCATGACATTTAACAAATACTCATTAAGAACCCACTATGTGTCAGGCATTGGATATTCACTGGCCATCCTTGCCCCACTACAGCACACATAAAGTGATAGATAAGAGGCATTTTATTTTTCTTTTAAGTTTCATTTGGTGAATTAGAACTTATATGGCACTCTATTAGTTCTGAAGTATCTGAAATTATTAAAAAATAATTTCCTATTTCTGTATATTCTTTCAAAGTTTATATATTCGATGATATTATTAAATGCCAACTGTGTTTTCATAAGTAACCTCATCTATTTTCCCAACTTCCTATAAGGTAAGAAGGTCGTGTGTTTTGAATCCCCATTTTTAGATGAACATTAAGGCCAAAAAAGGCTAAGAAATTTGCTCAAAGCTAATAAATAAGACAGCCAGAAATACAAGTAAGGCTTTGTGAATTCTAGTCCAGTATTTTTAAGCCAACATCTATCCCCAACATGATCACTGATTTTAGCTGTCTGCAAGAATCCTCATCACACTCTATCATATAATGCTAATTATATAAGGCATTCTTTCACTTTTCTCAAAAAACTTGAACAAGTAGAATAACAATGTATCAAGTATTGCCTATCATATTTGCAAAAATTATATGAAATAAAAAGATACCCAGCTCTGATAAGAACAAATGACACTTTCATACAGTCTCAGAACATACTGATACATCATTTCTTGAAAGGCAATTGGGCAACTGTGTCAGGCATTTGATGACGCCATTCCATTTCCATGAATGTAGTAAATATACATACAGTGAGGGCTATAAGATATTCACTACCATGATGCTTACACTAGTGAAGCACTGGAAACAACCTAAATAGCTAACAATGAGGGATTAGTCAAATAACTTACCATATATTAATATAGTAAAATATTATGCAGTCATCAAAAATGTTAATTAGTTTTTAATTACAGTCTAAGTCACATATAATAAAATGCATAAATCTTCAATGTAGATCAATGACTTATGTTCATACACATACATATATACGTCCACACATATAGTAGTGAAACCACAATATCACAATACAGAATGTTATCTTGATATATATTAAATGACAGAAAAATTTTAATATCTTTTGAGTGATCAACATGATAATATGATCCTACTTGTGTGTTATAAACTGTACTCATATTGTGTTTAAGTGTGTGTGAATGTGAAGAAAGAAAGAGACTAGAAACATGTACTCCTTTTTTTTTTTGTCCTTTTTGAGACCGGCTGCACCGCGCTCAGCCAGTGAGCGCTGTGAGCGCACCGGTCATCCCTATATAGGATCCAAACCCGCGGCGGCAACGCCGCTGCGCTCCTAGCGCTGCACTCTCCCGAGTGCACCACGGGCTCGGCCCAGAAAGATGTACTCCTAAATATTAACAGTGATTATTTCCGCGTATTGTCTGCACTCCTAGCGCTGCACTCTCCCGAGTGCGCCACGGGCTCGGCCCAGAAAGATGTACTCCTAAATATTAACAGTGATTATTTCCGCGTATTGGGCCAAATAATTTAAATTTTCTTTTGTGGTTATCTATATTTTCATCTATAATAAGAATATATTACTTTTATAGTAAGAAAAGCATCCATATAAATTATTATTAATAAAACAATTACAAAGCAATGTTCTTAAACACAACAAATTATACAAAGTACTAAGCAGCATCTCTATATTTAATAACATTCAAATTCAATTTCTTTATCAATGAATTTTCACTCCAAAGACTAATTTTTAATACAAGAAGATACATGTATATATCATTGTTAAAGCTGAATATTCTCTTCCTCTACCTATATTAAAAATTTGTATGCATTTGTTCTGAGACATTGAGAAGAAGGGTACATTTTTAAGAAATCAAAATAAAAGAGTTTGTGGGTGGCTCATCACAGACAGGATTGCTGTATTGTGGGGCAAAACTGCTGAAAGAAAAGGAGGCTTTGTTGGTCAGCCACTAAAGGAACAAACAAAACAGAATAGGAAGGACGATGTCCATGTGCTCACTGTGGGCATCCCAAAACATTTGGTCCAAAAAGTAAGACTGTTGCCTTAGATCTCAAGCCTAGGGAGGCTAGATTTTGAAAGCTGTTTACAAATTCATTCGTTTACTGAGGATCTCTTTTAGGATTCAGTGCAAGCCACACAGAGACGAATCAGATATGGCCCCTGCCTACAAGAAACTGTTATTCTAGTAGTCAAAGGAGATACACAAATAATTATGACAGTTTGATGAGTACTATGAAGAGGGAAGAAATCTCAATTACCTGCTTAGTTTCAAAGTTAACGAAACAGTACCCTCGAGGCTGTCCCTCCAAAGCACCTGACTTGTGGAAGAGGAAGTCAAACTGCTTTACCTTGCCAAACTTCTGAAGGAGCTTGAGGAGGTGGTATCTGTAGAGAAAGAAGGGCCTGTGAGTCCGCTCTGGGAATTTTCTTGGCCACTCAGCCTGAAGTGCGAGATAAAAGCAGGACATAATTTACCCCAGGGATAAAATCTCTAGCTCTTGCCCCCTGCCTTCCTCCAAACTGCTGTGTTAGTTTATCTGGCAAACAGAGTTGTTTGCCTCTATTTGGAATGGGAACTAGAATTGTCATGGCTATGCGTCTATCCAACACAAAAATACCAAACAAAAAACCACACCTTACAAACAGCTGTCTGGCCCACAAGCACCATTTGTTTTTCTTTTGGAGAAAAGCTCAAAAATAGTGTCGATTTATTTATTTTTAATTTCTTGGCAATGAAATAGCATTTGAATAACTATAACTCCATCAGAAACACACTCAAACTCTAAAAGCCAAAGCCTACCCTATCTCAAAAATAAACAAAGTAACAAATACATATCTACATATCCATTCACACAAACACAAAACAGTCCTGGAAGACTTGCCTATTAGATTCAGTAGTAAATCATTAGACCCAATTTGCACTTGCCAGAAACTGTCAAAAACCAAACCACAGCTAGTGGCATTTCCATAAGTGCTTGAGAATTTCAATCCCCTGGAAGACTTGCCTATTAGATTCAGTAGTAAATCATTAGACCCAATTTGCACTTGCCAGGAACTGTCAAAAACCAAACCACAGCTAGTGGCATTTCCATAAGTGCTTGAGAATTTCAATCCCTAATGTGACTGAACACCAGGACAATGTGGAACCATAACGTGACTGAGGCTGGTCTCACACAGGGCAGGGGAACCTGGCCAGTCCTATAAATCATCCACTGATGGGTAACTAACCAACCTCAGTTGCCTTAATACAGTTTATACTCTGGGGTATGGCCAAGGAAGAAATGGTCAAGGCAGGACGTTCACCCTAAGTTATTGCTTGCCACTCTGCTCCTCATCCTCTTTTTAGATACCTTACTCTAAAACTTACTTGGTTTCTACAGAGCTTTTAAGTTATTCAAACAGATGTGGCCCTAACAGGTTGCTGTGGCCAATCTCAATTCCGACTTCCTGTCATCTGATGTAAGGGTGAGACAAACCAACAGCTCTCCCGTTTCCTTTTCCTTTGGCCTTCCTCCTGGCATCCTCCACGCTATTCAAATGCAGTCAAGGCTTTTTCTAAACAATGTTGTCCCTGTGATACTAAAAAGGTATCAGCCCACATGCTAAATCTGTTATTACTGGGAATTCTAACCTACAGGGAGTCAGTAAAGTTGTCGTTATAGCCATATTTATATTCACATTGTTTTCTAGGACAAACTCATCAAGATTTTATTCTTGAGCAAGAATCTTCTTTGGGAGACGGAAAGATATAAAATGGATCATAAGCTATACTAAATTTGATACAAATGCACATCAACAAGGAAGCCCATTATCCTGGGTCAGGTGTCTGACATAGTGGAACATAATATAGGTTTAGTACTGGGGCAGGATGCAAGGATCCTAAGGCATATTATGGATATTAATCTGGTGTTTGTATCTGTTTTGAAAGAGAAAATAACCATGACCCTCTCCTTTCTAAATTCTCAACTCCCATCAGGACATCTCAACCATTAGTGAGAGTGTAGGAGACGATTCTTTAGAAGAAAGCGGGGTACATCAAGTACAAATTTCTGGCTCTACTTGACTTTTTGAATAGGCTTACTGCAAGGGCGAGTCTCTCAGATACACAGAGGAGCTAGAGGAATTTCCCCCAGGATCTTTAATTCACAGCTGCATCTTCCACTTACTATATCTCAAACCACAACACCTTGCCAGTTGTCATCAAATGGTAGATCAAACCCGTTTTTAAAAAATGATCTAAGGGCTACTGTGGGCTCGTCATCTTTTCATTAGCTACATTCTGCTTAATAGCAGGAAGGTAACACAACTGGCAATTCCTAGGAAATGAATTTTAATTTACTCAGAAAAGAAAATGCCAACAGATTATTCTTTGTAAAACTAACAAACACATTCTGCCCGAGAAGTGCGACCTTAAGATTCCAGGAACATCTGCTTAGGTCTGTGTCTTTCAACTTCTTCAGGATTTCTTTTCTTGTTTGATAATTTCTTGAAATTATCGGAACACCGAAACAAAAGGAATGAAATGTTTACTATTTTGTTTCCGGGAGATGGGAACTGCAAGCTCTGATAGTGAAAAAGCCTGAAGGATCTTGCTTTCACATCTGCAAGCACTTTTATCTGCTGCTATAGTATGGGAGAGCTCAATACTCAGCAGAGGCTTGCTTCACTTCATGAAATGTGCACCCCGCAGCCTTCAGGTACTAGAGAATAAGTATCCAGTCCCACATATTTCTGCAACTTAATCAGTGTTTTCTGCAATGGGTCTTTAATGCAGCCTTTCCACCTAATGTCACAGAAGTAATTAATCTAAACAAATGTTAGAACAGATACCTACTATGTGTCAATTAGGCACCAATTAGGTACTTGTACTATTCAGATGAATAAAATCAGTTCCCTGCCTTCAACAACCTCACATTCTGGTTAGAGGGGAGAGATATGTAATTAAGCAATTACAAAACAGTGTGATACTTGTACATGGAGGTTATGAACATGAGCACACACACGAAAGAGGGCAAATTGTGCTGGGAATGTGGTGGTTAAGGAAAGTTCCGTGAAGGGGTGATATCTGAGTGGAGTGTGTCAGTGTGAGAAGATATCATGTGCAAAGACATGAAGGTGAAAAAGAGTCTGATCCACTGGAAGAGAGTGGGGTAGGCAGTAAGAGATCAGGCTGAAAGGTAGGCAGGGCATAGGTGATGAAGGACATGGTGGAGTGTGTCAGTGTGAGAAGATATCATGTGCAAAGACATGAAGGTGAAAAAGAGTCTGATCCACTGGAAGAGAGTGGGGGTAGGCAGTAAGAGATCAGGCTGAAAGGTAGGCAGGGCATAGGTGATGAAGGACATGGTGTGTCTAACTTGATGTTATAAGCAATGGAAAGCCAGTGAAATGACATTAAAGATCATTTTTAGTGCACAGTTTTAGAGAAAATTTTCTATATAAATGTATAAAAACTGTTACGAGGTGGGTCTTTATTTTCTATTCTATGCATGTTATTAAATGGTCTTATTGTGTTTCAAATTTAAGTAAGCAAACAATAAAGACCACTTCATGCAAACCAAGACATGAAAAGAAGCATGGACAATGAAGGAAAAATGAGGAATGGACTAAGAGATAAACAGGGCTTTCTTCAGGGGTGAATGTATTGTTCTCACAGGCTCATGCATTTATTTTCCCTTGCATTCTAATTTACTCAGTTTATCCCTTAACATCTACATCAGAAGGACACTGCCACCTGGATGGCTCTCCATTGCTTTCATGTTTAGTTAACATACCCCAAACTGATCTCCTCCCCACCACAACCTGATGGCTCTTTAGCTATCCCAGTGGTCAATGGGAACATGATTCCTTTACATGCCTCAGGCAAGAAACCTCAGGATCATCTTCAACTCTCCACTCCTCTTCATCACTTCATCTCTCAGATGCACCACCGGTCTCCAAGTTCACTGTCTCTAACTAGGTGATACTGATAGCAGGGCTAGTTTATGGCATTCTCTCCTAGCAAATCTTCATCTTCAGTCTGCGCCCCTCCAATTCATCCTACAACTTGATGTTTAATCTTCCTACTAAAACATCACTTTCATGAAGTCGGTCTCCTGCAAAACACCCACAAATGAGTCTTTTCTACGTAAAATTCAAATTTGTTGGAACAAATTTTAAAGATCCTGCCTTGACCTATCTATCCTACTATTTTCATTACCATTTAGTATTCAACCTCTACTTAAGTCAAAAAGGTGTTCCTGATATTATGCTCACAAATAACAATCTTTCTTATTCTTATTTATTTATCCTTATTTATGATTTCCCCTCCACTTAGAATGCTCCCTCTATTAGAATTTCTACTGGCTTTGTTCTCTCTCATACTTCTCCTTCAGTAGCTATTAATATGGCTTTCTATACAGCACATTTAATATTTCAAAAAGAAAGCCAATATTAACCCTTTTAGAGAAGACCAAAGTGTGGAAAAATAGATGATGCTTAAGGACATTAACTTTTTTGGTTTCTTTGTTGAAGGCACTGGTAATAATATTAAAGGTATTGTTTACCCTTACATTTAAATTGTGGGTCCCACAACAATTTAAAAGTCCTTACATTTTAAAATTTAGAATAAGATAATTCAGATTATGACTGGTTATTTGGACAATTAGTATATTTTGTGTAAAGAGCAGTTAATTAGGCAGTGAGAAATCAGTCCTATCACTAACTACTTCAGTAAACAAAGTCAACTCACTTAACTCTTCTTTTCCTATAAAACAGGAAAAATAATGTTTCTACTTACCTCACGAAGTTGTTATAAGTTTAAAAAAGAGGAACTCATACAATATTAGAGCAAGAAGAAATGCTCAGATCATTTAGTTGAACATTCTCATTTTATAGGAAAGAAATGAAGTACACTGTAGTTGAGAGGAATAAGAATATAGTAGAAAGAACATGGGTTCTGCTACCTCCACAAAGAAGAGTGGGTCATCACTCCCTCAAATCCAAATCTCTAAGATCTATTTAAGCATACAAATATTTCTGGCATCTAGCACAGCCCTAAAATGGTCAGAACTACAACCACAGAGTGAACAGAACTAAACAAGAGGCATAATATTATCCCTCAAATCCAAATCTCTAAGATCTATTTAAGCATACAAATATTTCTGGCATCTAGCACGGCCCTAAAATGGTCAGAACTACAACCACAGAGTGAACAGAACTAAACAAGAGGCATAATATTGGAGTGCTAGACAGTCAGGAAAGTATATCCTGTTGAGAAGAGACTGATCGACATCCTAGTCCATCAACCAGGACTCAGATTAATAACCAACAGGCATATACACAGAATGACTAGAACTAACTGCAAAATAAACTTCAAAAAATTAAGTGGAAAAATGTTTTTTAAAAATTGTCTCTGTTTTACACAGTCCTGTAACCATTCATGATGGGCTATAATTTATCTTCTAACAAGTGGTAAGAGAACATTTGAATTGAAGGTGCATTCAAGTCAATTTATAGAAGAGATCAGGAAGAGGGGTGGTAAAGAGTCAGGATATATTTAGGACAGAGAGATAAGAAGGGTCTGTTGAAGGGGAAACAGGAAGAACTGGCAACAATTTGTGGGTGGGGGGTAAATATAACCAGGAAAACTATAAGATGCTCTGCAAACTTCTGTCAAGAGTCATTAGAAGTTCAAAGATTTGGATTAAACTAATACTTTCTGAGACTGGACTAGAAGACAGGCACCATATGTCTGCATAAGGATTATGTGTACATAATCCTTTGGTGTTCAGGAATGACTATATTTTAATAATTCATCTAGGCTCATCTTACGTACCCTGAGAGGACCAGGATCCAGAAGTTATGTATTTCAGAAACCTAGGAAGGAAATCATATATTTCCATAATATAGGACTTACCTTACTAAAATGTCAAATTTCTTTGCTGTAATTAATTTAAATGAGGCAATACTAAACATTTCATGTTAACCATAAGCTATGATTGGTAGTTATGTCTTTAAAAAGAAATTCATTACTACTTAATAAATTGGTTTGTTTGACAGACAAAATGTTTTAAGGTAAAGGATCGGTAGAAGAAAAATAGTAAAAACGGCCTTTGGTGATATAGAAGTAGAGAAGCCACAGGGAGAGCATGAGCACTTCCGGCTAGTGAGGCTCTGATCTAGTTCAGTACTTGACGTCCACATCTGGCCTGACGTAAAAAGAACAGAGATATCAGTGGGAAAGTTTTGACTCAATGTTCCTGTGAATGCTCTAACAGAAGAAAACATTCATATACTCCAACTTATGACATAAACTAGGGGGCAAATGCCCATTTGAACCTTCCTGTCAAGCAGCAGGACACAATCAGAACAAGAGTCTCATTACAGAGAATTGCAGCCAACACAACCAACACTGTTTCCATGCTTTAGAATTCCACTCAGACAAGCAGAGGTGGGAATGGAAATCACTCTTGGGAGCACCTCCTCGTAGCTTGTTAGACAATGAAAAACGCTTCTTTGATGGACAGACATTAATTGAGAGTTTGGGCAGATTCACACATTCATCCTCAAAGCACTGAACCATAAAAGAGAAATAAATGCAATCTAATTCCAGGTCCCCGTGACCAAGGTAACATGATATGGGGCAACACATCTTAAACCATCATAATTTCTAGAGGTACCCAAATGTATCTACATTTACTTGAAAAGGCTTGAGCAGGTTTAAGGAACTAAATTTTCTGTCATGATCCCGATGAATAAATTTACATCTCCTTTCCTCTCCTAATTCTAATCCTTATATACCCCTCCTCTCATCCCAGACTCAAACAAGCAGGTTCCCTCATCTCTTCCACCCTTTCCTTTAACACTATTCCAAAGGTACTGACTTCTAGGACTGATGATATACTCCCCACGTGCTTTGAGCATTGGCCTCATACAGCTCTATCCGTTTACCCTTCATTACTCTGCCACCAAACACCAACTTCCTCCTACCAAACCACTGGGGGAAAGAAAATCCTCTCAATTCTTTCTGTTAGGAAATTCCTTTCCACTGTAATGTCTGTGATGAAAAGAGTGGGGAGTCAGGACAATTCAATTAGTTTTGTGATCTTGGGCGTGGCACATTTTTCTCTTGGGTCTCAATTTCCTCTACTGTAGTATAAGAGAGCTGGATCAGATCAGAAGTTTTCAAGTGTGCTTCATGGAGCCCTAGAAGTTCCACAGAGCTTCATGAGGGATTGCCAAAGAAAGGCCTGCAATTGATAAAAGGCTTTGAGTATACCTCTTCCCCTTTGATCACAGCAGCTCTAAGTTATTTTACATATAACTTCTGATTACTTTGACTTTAAGATGGAATTCCTCAGATGGAAAAAGTCTGAAAACTACTTAGCATGGCACTTGGCACACAATAGGCACTCAAATCATTTAATCAATGAACGAAAACCAGAGGGACTGGAATGATCTCTAATATCCTTTCCTCCCTTCTAATTCTGACCTTCTTATGGTTCTGCGGCTGCTTAACATGAATTATAGTCAAGTGGTACCCCCTTGCCTGGTTTGCAAAGGTACTGAGAATACTTCTGCTTATAGCTTCATTTTTAGGGACAAGAGTATGCCTGAGGCTGATACTAGAAAATAATTTCTTATAGCCACTGGGTATAAGAATTCAATAATTAGAAATGGGAAAACATCTGTAGCAAGCAGGAAAAAAAAGATACATGGTTTAAAGGATAACCAAGTTTGTGTCCTTTCAGGAGAGTCCAAATGTAAGAAAACTGACAAGATAACAGGCTAATAACATCATCACATCACCTTCCAAGGTAAAACATAAATAAAAGGGCCAAAATATATCCTACACCCCCTGAAAATTCTTCTGAGCATCATCACTGAAAACATCGCAATTTTGTATGTCACGAATTAAGGTAACTTAGACTTACTCTGTGATTTTGGGGTCCAGGTTGCCAATCCATAATCGGTGCCCTTCCTGTAGAGAGCCCTCTGAGAGGATGGATGCATTCTCCAGGGGAAGAATTTTGGTTTCTGCTTCCATCAATCTCTATGAAATACTAAAGGAAATGTGAACATTTAGGCAGGAGAGAAGCAAAACTGTGAACATGAGACTTCAAATTCAACCTAACAAACATTTATTCAAGGAGTGCATGTCCCCTGGGTAGTCCTTCAAAGGCCTCAGTTATTCCACAACCAGGGCCCCAGACCAGTTCCCTTGGGACAGCTCTTCTGGCAGCCAGAGCACAGAAGCTGCCATTTAAGGTGAAAGGGGCGTGGTTCTGTGTGGAGAAACTAAAGTTTTCCTCTTCTGAAGCCAGAGGCTGACTGGGCAAGAGGCCAAAGTCTCTATTACTACATGATACTCCAGTTCAACAACTGTCACCCAAAATAAGCTTTGGAAACCACCAGGCAGAGAATCTTAACTGCACTGAAGGAAATGCGTTGGGAAGAGTCGCATTACCTCCCTTTTCCTCATGGAAGAGGCAATACAGAAAAGGGAGGAGAAAATATGGAAAATTTGTACATAGATTTTGGAGTTAGAACTGGGTTTGAAAACAGGTTGTGTGACTTGGTGAATTACCTACACTTTCTAGGCCTCAGTTTCCTCATATACATTAGTGGAGATAATAGTTATTTTATAGGGTTGTTGTGAAGATTAAATACAGTACATGAAAAATCACTAAATACTGTAACTAACAACAGTAAGTAATCAATACATATTAGCTATTATCATGTTTAAGAGTTTGAGAGAGACTAGGAAGAAGAGGCTATTCCTCCTTAGTTATTGCATTTCTACCACTTGTTAGTTGTGTAACCTTGGGCAAGTTACTTAACCATTCTTTGTCTTGGTTTTCTCATCTGTAAAATGGGGACAATACTTCATAAAATTGTTGTGGGAATTCACTGAGTTAATATACTTAAAGCAATAAGAAAAGTGCAGGGCACCTAGGAAGCATTCAGTTAATGTTAGCTTAAATTATTACAGTAGTCCCTTGGTGTCCTCGGGGGATTGGTTCCAGGACTCCACCCCCCCATACCAAAATATGCAGATGCTCAAGTCCCTTTCACAAAATGGTATAGAATTTGTATATAACCTACACGTCCTCCCACGTACTTTAAATAATCTCTAGATTACTTTTAATACCAAATACAATGTAAATACTATGTAAATTGTTATACTATATTCTTTAAAACATTGTATTGGTTTTTGGTTTTTTTTCTTCCCAAGTATTTTCCATCCACAGTTGGCTGAATCTGCAGATGTGGAATCCCTGGATATGGAGGACCTACTGTACTAGTCTTAGCTCCTGAAATCTCTCATCTCAGAGCCAAGGAGAATAGGATTAGGATTGGAGACAGTAATGGAAAGAGTAGATATCTTGGTGTCAGAACACCTGGTTTAAAATTATGACATTTCCACTGGAAGTCATTTCTCGCTGAGCTTGTTTCCTCATCTTTATATAAACTTTGCCCTGCCTACAACTTAAGGCTGCTGAGAGGACCAAAAATGAGATGACAGGTGTAAAATAAAGCTTTAATAAATGTATAATGTGGTAGAGAAAGAAAAGAAAAAGGGGCTGGAAAGATGGCTGGCTGTGCCAGAGTTCAGAACTCCCTGCTAGAGAAAACATGTGTCCTAAATATCCAGAAGTGCCTCAGAGGTAATTACTGCAGGAACTGTGTCTTAATAACACCAGCTGATACATATTGACACTGCCATTACCTCTTTTACATCTCAGCACACCCTACAAAATCTAGTACATATCAGTTCCTAGGTAATTGTTTGTTGAACATGTTTACCTACCCCCCTGCACACGTGAATAATTTTCCTTTCCTACTCACATCTTCAATCTGTTCAGCAGTGTGTGACAAGCAACTACAAACTGCTAGACCCTGAGCTATCTACTGAAAATAGACCAATTAGTAAGTCATAGCTTTCGCTCTTACCTCCTGAGAGAAAGGTGAAACAGACATAAACAGAATCCCAGGAGGGGAAACGGGAGAAACATTTTGTCTTCTTCCTGCTTTCCTTTCCCTCTACTTTCTTACAGCTCATTTGTTCAGAAAAAAAAATTACTTTGTTTCTATTTTCCAGCCATTGTCTAGTTAACTGAGGTCAGAGTATTAAAAAACAAGGTCCCTGCCCCCAGGAAGCTTGTATTTGGAAGAGGAGCAGGACAACACAAAATCAAAATAAACTAAAAAATACAATTAGTGATAAATGTTGAAATACAATTAAGCAGGGTTATTTGACATGGGGTTGGACGACTTTAGTTTGAGTGGAGAAGAAAGGCCTCTCTAAAGGAGATGACATTTGGGTTGAGACTTGAATGATAGGAACTTCTGATTTTCTCATGTCTAAAAACACCAATAATACCAGCAGCTACTTAATACCACAAAAAGGTACCATATTTTAGCGGGATGAGTGCAGAATATGGGACCAGAGAGACGGGGATTCAAATCCTGGCTTTTGCACCTAGTTATTGTGGGACTTTAGCAGGTCACATGATCTCCCTTTAAGTGTCTTCTCCACAGAAAAGCTTTCCCTAATAAAATAGATCCTCTTGTAATTCTCTACCACAGCCACCTTTTTCTTCCCAATAAAGCTAACTCAATGTGTTACTTAATGTTTTATCTTCTGTTGTCCTCACTAGAATGAAAGCTCCTAGCGGACACGGCCGTGCCAATCTTGATCACAGTTCTATCCCCAGCCTGGCTCATGGTTGGTGCTCAGTGTTTACTGAATGCATGAATGAAGCAAGCCACTTCTCCACTCGGAGCCTCAGTTTCTTCTTCCTTCCCAGAATGGGTACAATTATTCCTATCTCATGAGGTCGTTGTGAGTTTTAAATAAAACAATACCGGTGGCAGCTCAGCACGGAGCTTTTTGAGAAACGGTAAACTGAAATAAAAGATCAAGACGGCAGCCGACCACCAAAATCCTTTGGGTATGCAACGGCGACAATCCCTTAAATTGACATAGTTCACAAAACGCTTTTACATCTATTCTCCCAGCTGAGCTGCAACAACCCTGGTAGCCAGGAATAGTCATTCGGGGAAACTGAAGTCCAGAGAAGCAATGGCACTTGCTCCAAAAAGCTAACGGCGGGGTCAAGCCTGGAACCCCGGCTTCCTGATTCTAGACCGGGAATTCCCACAGGCGAGAGGTCATTATCCACATTGTTATTTCCGGGCCAGCGGCAGGGCCTGAGAAGCCGTCCTGCGAGAACAGCCTCCCGTAGGACCTCCTCGTGGGGCCAATGCTGAGGTGCAAGGACACATCGCAGCCGGACTCACCTCCTGGCCTCCGTGTTGAGCCCTCAGCTCATGCCCCGAAAGCGGGTCCCAACTCCGCTGTCCGACTCAGCACCGCCCGCTGCCAGGCCGCCCGTGACGCGTTACGCCTGCGCCGCCGCGCCGCCCCGTGACGTCACGACTCCTGCGCCTCCGCCGCCGCCGCAAGAGTCTTTTCCTAGTAACCTGGGCGATAGCTGGTGAGTGGCCTCGGCAGGTTCGTGAGACACTCGCGGGGTCCGGGTGTTGGCGACCCTTACTGAAGGACCTCCGAGAGACTTCAGGGGACCAGACGACAGCCCCCGATCTGTTCAGTTCAAGTCCGCTTGACCTTTAATGCTGGGGGCGGGACGTGTTGCATCGGGAGCGAGTCTCGCGGGGTGGGGGCGGGGGGCTCGTCACATCAGCTAGCAGTTTAGGGGATGCTGGGGCTGGGTGGCACTTACCAAATAGTAGCAGTTTATCTAGCAGCACAATACCTAACAGGAATGTTTTTCGGAACAGTCCTAGGAGAGCAGGTATTATTATCTCCCATGATGAAGAAACGGAAGCTTAAAGAGGTAACTTTATCAGAGTCACGTGGCTAGTAAATGACGGAGCTTAAATTCAAACGTAGGTCTGTCTGACTGCAAAGCCTGAACTTTTAACCACTACTTTGTGCCACCCAGTGGCAAAGCAGTTGTCATTTCAATAACCCTTCCCCATTTATATAACCCTGATAAATAGTATTGTCATTTACATTTTATAGATGAGAATGAGGTCCAGAGAATTTGACCAAGGTCACATGTCTAGAAAGTGCACGACTTTTTTCCAGGACGTCTCCACGTTTGGTGTCTTTTCCTTCAACCGCGTTGTATTGCATTTCCCAGAATCTTGGAGAGCTTTTGTTGGAAAGGATGAAAACCTGATCTGACCCCGTTATCTTATAGTTGAGGAAATAAAACCTACGTATGAGCAATTGCTTGGTACAAGTCATAAATCAGTGGTAGAACTGCCCGCAAATGCTTTTTGAATATGGGTGGTCATGAATCTAAAGGGGGTGGGTCGCACGGAGCAATGAGGTAGGAATATTGGAATCCATATCTCCTAGCTCTGTGGCAAAAGCTCTTTCTCCACTTGTTAAAATGTCTCATCCCTTCTTCGGCTGCACCAGGGACATAATGATTCTGTATAGAGTCAGATACTACAAGTACCTTTGTTTATATGAAACTGAATTTAGAGAACATGCCCTACTATTTCAAAGCAAAAATCTAGCAAACCGAGAGATAATGGAGGCAGTATTGGGAAGTAGAAGCAGGACTTACAGTCCAGGAGATACTACATCAGAAGTGTTGATTTTCATTGACCCTGGGCAAGGACTTATTCTTTCTGGACTTTAATTCATGTATTCATCACATTTATACAGTTTCTTCTGTGCAGGCACTGTGCTAGGGAGACCTAGTTGGGTTGTAGGAGGTGGCTGAGGAAGGCATCCTCTGAGGAAGTGAAAGTTAAGCTGAATTTTTTTTTTCATCATTATACAACGTAATCGATTTTCTTGGCACTTTCTCCCACACCCCCGCAACCTCAGTGCTGTTCTCTTTTAAAAATCTCAGTGAATTATTGTAATCGTTGTATGTTTTCTGGTTGTTTATTTATTTATTATTAGTTCCCACATAAAAGCGAGAACATTCAGTGTTTCTCTTTCTGTACCTGGCTTATTTCACTTCATAAGATGAGAGGTAGTCAGTTAAAGAGGTGAGGGAAGGATGATTCCAAGCAGATTCAATGGCATGTTTGAAGACTCTGGAGCAGGAGGAGCATTTGAACAAATGAAAGATCAATTTGCTTGTTTTATAAAATGTGGGTGGTAATCACGACTCTGGTTATTGTGAGAATCAAATAAAACAATGCATGTAAAGATATTTTATATACAGCAACGGCCTGTGTGTGTGCACACTCATATTTGTAAAAAAGTACATATTATAAAGTAATATACAGCTGGTTTGGAAGGGGTTGCTGGGACAATAGGGAAGCGAGGACTTTGGGTTCATCATCTAATTCTTTCCAAAATTAAAATGCAGCTTCTATGAAGAACAAGGAAATTCATGTTTTGAGACCCTCAACTTTGGAGAAAGAATGTGTTCTTCAAGTAGATTTTAGAAATTCTTTAACAGTTAGGATAATACATTAGCTACTATTTATTCTGTCCCTGCTGGATGCCAGGCATTTTACTGAGTGTTTTATGTACACAGTATAATATAGTGATTAAGAGCACAGACTCTGGAGCTAGACTGCTTGAGTTCAAGTCTTGGGCACATTATTTATTTGTGCCTCTGTTTTCTATCTTTAAAATGGGGATAATCATATTACTTATCCCATAGGGTTTTCATGAGGCTCAAATGTGTTAATATATGTAAAGCACTTAGAATAGCTTCTTCTACATAGTTATCACTATATAAATGTTAGTTATTGTTATTATTATTGTTATAATTATCTCTTTAAGAGCTTATTGTCATCTTGGTAACAATGTGGTGGAAACTGAAGCTCAGGCTAAATGACCTATCCAAGGTCACACAAGTAGTAAGTGGAGGAACTGAGATTCCCGTTCCAGACTGCGTCCAAAGACCAGTAACTTCCATCACACTGCTTTTGTGTATAGGTTAACTTTGTTGGATAATACTTGGACTCTCATAACTCGTTTCTTTCCTCAACTTTAATTCTTCATCTGTGCTGAACTGAATGCTAATGTGCATGTCCTTAAGGTAAAGGACCCAAGGGACTGCCTTTATTGAAATTCCACTTTGAAATTTCCTAACTTCTGTGCAATTAAAATCTACGCCTTAAGCATTTCAGCAATGTGGTTTATTTATAGAATTGTCTTCCGGTTCACGTGTACTTGGGTCTGCTTTTGGGTGCTGCATTTTCTGTCAAAGGTTGTTTATTTCTAACTCATTTTGATTTCCTGTTGCTTTGTGGATTGGTATTATGACCTGCAACAGGAACGCCAGGAAACCAGTCTAAATACAGCAGCCAGATTAAGACCCTGTGGATTTAAAAAAAAAAAAAAAGGTACACATTATTATACAGCCATATTTGGATATAAGTGTGAGTTAGGCATTGACTGTATTAGGCAAAAACCTAGATTTAGAAACCTCACTTGGGGCCAAATTTTTGTGAACAGTTCTGCCAAAATAGGGCTGGGCTGTTAGCTCCATGTCCTTGGACAGTGACTTAATCTCTTGGCCTCAGTTTCAACATCTGTAAAGTGGGGATTATTGTACTTTCTATGTGGCATTATTGAGAGGATTAAATGTAATAATATTGGTGAAGCAAGCAGCCCAGACCTGACCTCATTAATAGTAGCTATTGATAACAATTATTAAAGAGGAAAAAAGTATTCCATTTTTCATCCAGAACTGTTTTTACAGACTTCATACACTGATCTCTAACATCTAGTATCCCTTGCTATTAAACATTTCATCAGGAGAAATCATTTGCCTTTGTGCTACTCATTTGCTTTTCTTTTAAAGAAAGAAATGATAATAATGATATTCACCATTTATTAAGCAGCTGTTATATTCCAGGAACTGTACTAGGTGTTTTGCATGCATTCATTATTTCATTTTATCTTAAGATCGGGATAATTTTTCTCACTGATGAGGAAAGTGATGCCCAGAACAGCAAAATGAATTGCCCAAAGTTGAAAATTGCATTCAGGTCTGACTGACTCTAACCTACCTTGCACTTCAGTAATGACACACAAGGGTTCTTTAATGTGTCTGACCCTGGCGTGAAAGTCTTTGAAAGAAAAGGTGATAACTCTCAATAGGTATCATTTGGGGGGCTGCTGCTGTGCTAGGCGCTGTGCCAAGTGTTTTACCTGCATAACCTCATTTATTATTCCCACCCCTAAGAAATAAATGTAATTATCCCCATTTTATGGTTGAGGAAATCAAGATGCAGAGATATTCAGCAGCATTTAGTTAGTGATGGAGCTGGGATTGGATTCCAGGTCTTCCTGGCTGTAAAGCTCATGCTCCTATTTATTCACTCCGGTGTGAGTGGATAAATAATACTGCATCAAAATTTTAGGGTAGGACTTTTTAAAAAAATGAGATGTGGAATTTATTTCCAGAGATAGCAGCTTCCAGGTATTTGATGTTAAGTGTTCTTAATTTTTGAGTGAGTGAACACCAAATTCCTGGCAGAAGCTATTAATGCTACATTTGTCAGTTAGCTTAGGACTGTGTTCTATCCCAGATGTAGTTGTCGGCAACAGTGTCTTTCCATGGTCAAAGACCTCAGAAGTATAATGTATAACTTGTGTTAACACATTGGAGGGTGACATTTTCCGGAGCTTTAGTTCTATACCATGGAAGACCTCAAGCCTCAATCATGCTTCAGACTCACATTAAAGTAAAGTGCATTCTAATTGGTAATCAGTGCATAAGGAACCAAAGAAAATTTTAATTAAACGCTGTCGTGTGAATTTTCCAGTCATTTTATGCCTGTTAAAATGGTTTTCTTATTTAGTTTAAAGTTCTCTTCTAGTGCTCTGCTCTCCATCTTTAAACTTTATCAAGATTTTGTGCTTTTTCTCGTGAAAGGGTTTAATTAGCATCATTAAAGGTTTAGGCTGCTGCACATTTACTTAACAGGCATTTTGGTGTAGTGGAAAGAGTTTGGCATTTGGAGTCCTACAGACTGTGGGCAAGTAACTTAAATCTCTGTGAGCCTCAGTTTCTTCATCCTGTTGAATGAGACTGATAGTATTTCCTTCTATGGCTGTTGGGAGGAGGACTAGAGATAATGTATTTAGGGCCGGAGCCCGTGGCGCACTCGGGAGAGTGCGGCGCTGGGAGGGCTGCAGCGCTCCCGCTGCGGGTTCGGATCCTATATAGGGATGACCGGTGCGCTCACAGCGCTCACTGGCTGAGCGCGGTGCGGCCGGTCTCAAAAAGGACAAAAAAAAAAAAAAAAAAAAAAGAAATTGGATAGTACATAGCTCGGTTTATAGGAGTTGCTTGATAATTGCTACACATTATTTTCTGAAGTTGCAATAGGGCCTCTTTTACTTAGATCTCCTTTTTGTCTTAATCTTTTTAGT